CTACGCCCATTGTTCAATCTTCCATGGATTCTAGAAACATCAATTTAAACTCCGCTAATTTCCATACCTGACAAACCTACCTATTTCTTCCCCGTCCTCGTCGTTGCGAACTTGTCCGTTCGCAGACTCGTCCAACGTCCCTTTATTCTTCAATTCGATCAACAGATCCATGAAATCGTGCCTCTTGATACCGTGCTGCTCTCGCTGGCTAATCATCTGCGACACCATGTCCTTAAAGAATCTGCTCACTGCGGGATCGATCACTTGAACGCCTAGGAATTTATACAATTTCGGCAACGCTGTCCTCAGCATCCTCCAAAGGGTGGCTGTGTAACTTGGCTTCGAGAGTTTCTTCGCAGCCCTGTGGAACTCGGATTCCTCGTCGGTGAGAGCGTTTATCTGTATGCCGAAAGCACAGCTACCGATGACGTCTATCGTAAATTTCGCCGCCAGTTCGCGAATCTCGTGCGGGCGATCGGTCTCGGAGTACGTGTCGATTAATTTTTGAAACTCCTGGCCGCATTCGGCCAGCAGGTAGAACATCCTTTTCAATTTGCCGGACGAGAAGGCCGGGGTCAGTTTCGATCGCAGGCTCTTCCATTTTTTCCCCTCGAGGTTGAACAGATGGGCGGACAGCGGGTCCTAATTTATTTTAATCACCTTGTTATACGTACGCGTAGCAATTTCATTAGTACAAACTTTGGGTTTCATTCTATCGTGGAACAAGTTGATCTTTAACTTTCGAAATATTTAGCGTGTAAAAAAACAATTTAAATTGTTAGCATTCTAGAAATTAGAAAATTTTGAAATTTCCTTTTAATTCGTAGGGCGATCGATTCGTAGGGCTCTGTCTTTTCTGAATGAATATAAATCGAATATAAATTACACTTGCACTACCAATAAAATCCTTCCTATTTATCTCGACTGTTCCAACAATCAAATAGTTTCCAAGGGAAGAAAATACATTCAGTCTTTGAAAATTTATTCGACTCACTAATATTCCACACTTGGAACCTATTGTGAACGCGATCGAGTTACGATAGAAAGTAAAATATTCTCCTTTTACCTGCGAGTTCACCGGTATGCCACGATTCGAGAAGCAGGCGAAGTGTTTCACAAAAATATCCTTCACCAGGTCCGGATCCCGTAGGATCAGCATAGGCGATCTAACACGAAACACTCCGAAGTATCTCTCGTCCTCGAACCATTCGTACATCCCTTTTATACTTTCCGGTAACGATTTCCGGAACAGCAGCATGTCTGAGAAATTCCCGAACAACACTGTAGGCTTTCGGAACTGTACGCCGCGATTCTTCCAGAAGTCGAACGTCGCGGTGAGGAAACGATATAAAATTCCCAGGAGTAATCCCCATAGTAGAAATTGTTTCAAAATATTCCACATTTTGAATTCACTTTCGAATATATATTTTTCTAATTAGTCACTGTTTAATTAGTTTAAAAATTGCGCATGTCCTTTTTTTTTTCAAACTTTAATATGTCACCTCTCTGCTTTCCCAATCTAATCGCTTGTCATTTTTGTGCGACTTCTGTTATTCCTAATCTTACTTAGCGTTCTTCTTGAACTTCTTTCTTTTTTCTTTGCTAAATTGTGAAACCCACTGATATGAAGGTCACTGGTATTAAAATACGACCACGACATACTATTTTGTACTAAAAAAAAAAAAGAAAAAAAAAAATTGGAAATGAAGTACGTTGCGTAGTAGCTTGCGAAAGTGTTTCGTACTGTTGCTCAGAAAATTTGCAGCACGTTTGTAACTAGCGTTCACTCCGATTCAGATTCCAACAAACAATCATCATTCTAAATCATCATTTATTGTACAAAAGAAAAGAAAGGTTTTAAGACTACAGAATATTAAGAAAAATCGATTTCTTTATAACGCTTTCGATATGCTCCAAAATTTTAAACGACTATCACGAGTCACGTTAACTCTTCGCCTCATAATTTCAAAATATCGAAACGTTATTTCACACCATTTATATACGCTGATGTTCAGATTTTTTTCAATTCACTTTCGAAATATGAATAATTTAAGAAGAAATTTAAATTCTGAATTGAAATTCCGCGGGATTTGCAATCTGCCTTTCCCTTTGAATCATAGTTTATGCCGCGAGCGTGACTCGATGTTGCAAGAGTTCAACTAATGTTCAACCATCGCGATACATAATGCATCGCAGGTTTGGGTCACAGCGGATATCAGTTGAACGTTATCGCGGCGAGGTCAATATAGGGATACAAAGGATTACCTGGCGACGCGTATGACGCGTGTCGCAGCGGTTCTCGAATTACGCAGTTCTCGATATACGCCGATCGAATCCTTGGAGCTGTTTATAGAAGTGCAAGTTACTGCACTTGTCGGTCGCCGTGACTCACGAGCGCAGTATTTGCACTCTCTTGTCTCTGCTGGTGAAATGTCGGTGACGGACACTCTGCTCGCGCTCTCCTCGCACGCGGCTCGACTTGACGTTTCGTGCGGGCACGTGATTATCAGCAGGTCTCACGTCGAAACGAAACGAGACGTTAATTCGTTCCGTTTAACAAACCGTTTCGAAAACCAAATCTCCGTCTCGCTAATCGATTCTCGTTACTACTTCGACCGCGTTGTTGCCTGTGTTTTTCAGCGAGTCCACGCGAGTCACTTTTGCGCGTCCGATCGACGTCACGTCTTTGAAAATATCATTGGGAATCACGCGTCACTGCTTTCCCGATAATCATCGGTGAATGTTAGATCGTGGATTCACAGACGTATTTGACGAGAAACTTGATTTACTGCATGTAACCTGTAACACGAATGTGCAACATACCAAAAAAAATGGAACACTCTGATCATGAAAAATTACCAAGTGTTGAAAATAAAATAGAAATTAATCAAACGAATTCGACGACAAGATATTTATTTAGAAATTTAGTTTTTCTCCTTTAGTCGACGAGATATATTTATTTAGAAATGTATTTCTTCCAAAGTTGGATCTCGCTTTTTAAAGATGTAAACACTTACAGCCTGATAATTAATGTCCGCGAAAGAGTCATGCTCAAGAGGAAGTGCTCTTTACGAAACGTGATTGCAATCAAAACACGTTGAATAAAAAAAAAAAAAAAAAAAAAAAAAACCAATTGCTCAATTATTCACCGTTGTAATAATCATTCACGATCTAACGACTACAGCTGCCAAGACGCTCGACGTATATACAACTAGCATTAATTTTTCCCGATTGCAATTGATCGCAATTGATCGTCACTCCAGGGGAATTGAATTAACGTTTAATCGAGTACTTCACAACCAAGTAACTTCCAACAGGTGTAAAAAAACGCGCAACAATGGCACGTACTGTACCGTATCGGAGCGATGCAAGGTAGCACGGGATGCGATTTAACGGGGTTAAGGCATACTGCACGAGTATATATTTCAGGGACAGCAAGGAGAAGACCTAGGGAAGAGAAAGGAGAAGCAAAAGGAAGGGAAGAAGAAAGAAAGGAAAGGAAGGCTAAACTGCCACCGACTGGAGGGAATAATCATGAACGCACGCACTCACGCATTTACACTGCCTCGGCTCGAGTTCGTACCGAAACTCCGTGTTCCGATCGAGAGCCGCTCGTTTATCTACAACGGGCTTTTTGTTCCCTCTCTCCCTCTCTCCAACCGTGATAATTAATCCGCCAGATGTACGCCCGGCTTTTACCCACGAATTTCCGGTTAAAAGACGCGATCTTGACGCGCGTGGCAATTCCATTCGTCAAGAAAACTGGGGATTATTCATTGAGAGAGATCGAGAGAGAGGCGGTAATGACTCTTTAATTTTAAGTTTCGTTGCTCTCTCGTATATTTATTCGAATGCGGAACTTTTTTTTTTTTTCTTTTTTCTTTACGTGGAGGAAATCTTCATAAGACACCTGAGTTTTTTAAGGGAAGACTCAGGTATAGTGTTGGATTTTTAGCGATTAAAACCTTCACGATGGCCGTTCTTCGCACGTTGGGAGAGCTCGGGGACTTTTATACAGAGCTTTCCCGTGCTATTTGTTCTTAAGGACGTCTTTTTTTCGCCCGAACAAGGGCTCGAACCCTGGATCCTTAACTTAAGAATCTGATGCTTTACTGACTGAGCTATCTCCACCTAAATAATTATTTAGGTAATAAGCGAGTACGCCAGAAAAATGGTTGGAAACGAAGCTAGAGAAGAAGTTGCTTTGGAAGAAATCATCAAATGTCATATATTTCTGAATTTGACT